CGCCTTTAGCGGCCAGACCGAATAGCTCCTGGGACTCTCCTGGTGTGAAGTCGAGGTCGCGCTTGAGGCCTTGCTCACCGCCGCCTGCCCTTTCGTCAGGAGCAGCAGTGCCACCGACATCTTCAGCACCAATGTCGGCTGGCACGTCCTCCTGAAGGGGCTTGGGTGACGCCGAGGTCGCCTCGCGCACCTGGCCGTCGAGGCGGGTGGGCAATTTCTCTGGCAAATCCGCGCCAACGGAGCTGACGGCGGACTCGGGCTCCTCAGGCAACTCTTCCTTGGCGAACTTGAAGTCTGGCAGGGGACCAACGCGCCCGAGGCGACGGCCTCGGCTGCCTCTGCAAAAGACTTCCTGTACGTCTCAATATCCACCGTCTACGTCTCGATCGCAGCCTTCTTGTTGTCCAACGACGCCTGGAGGTCGGACAGCTGCCTGGCCATTTTGTCAGCCTCATTGTGTAACCTGGTGAGCTGCGACTGCGCGTCATGTAGCTTGTCCTGCGCCCTATAGTGGGCTGCCTCTGGGGTTTGCGGATTCTCAAGTTGTGCGCGCAGTGACTCGAGCTCGAGCATGTGTGCCTGCTTAACATGGGCAGGCAGAGACCCTTCAATGGCCTTCTCATAATGCTGAATCGCCGAGATTATCTCCGAGCGGGAAGTTTCATCTTTCTGGCCTGTAGGACCTCCAGACTCGGGCTTGTCCTGCGTGGTGACACTGGCGAGCTCCTTCTCGAGCTGTGCCAGTTGCTTACGGAGCGCGGCGTTCTCATCCCTCGTGTCGGCACGTGGTGCTGAAGTGGCCCGACGACGACCTCCAGCTGGTGCCTGACCCTCTTGCTCTGCCTTGGTGTGTGCCACCTTCGTTGCTGCGACGATTCTGCCTGGAGCATTGCATCCACATCGGCATCGCACGCGGCTGGCCCAGCTCTTGTCGGAACCGCAAAAACAACCCCAGTACGGCGTCTTGGGCCCTCTGAACACATCGGGACAAGAGGTCATGGTGGGGCTCGAGAACCCTCCTGCTGGAGGAACCCCGAACAGATTGGAAAGCAAGCTCGGGAAACAGAGCTATCCCACTTTGGCACGAGCGCGCGGAAGCACTCGGGTGCAGACATCTTGAGTCCGAATGGCTACGGATTGGGAGGAGGAGGAGGGGGAGGAGGAGGAGGAGGAGGAGGAGGAGGAGGAGCAGGAGGAGGAGGGGGAGGAGGAGGGGGAGGAGGAGGAGGAGGAGGAGGAGGTGGAGCAGGAGGAGCAGGAGGAGGAGGGGGAGGACGGGTCGCCGTCGCCGAAGCCCTTCGGAGAAACCCTCCAAGGGCCCCCTGCAAGAGGGCCGAAACTGGCGAAAGACCTCCCGGCGTGAATTTTGTTCCCAATCGCGAGGGGGTCCGGGGGGCCGGGCGCTCGAGGAACAGGGCGCGGGTCGGATCTGGAGCGGCGCGGCCCGAATCCGCGCCGCTGCCGGGAGCGCGCGCGCACTTTCAAGGGAGAGGGGTGGGGAGGTGGAGCGCACGGGGAGGGCGCCTCCTCCTCCTCCTCCTGCTCCTCCTCCTCCTGCTCCTCCTGCTCCTCGTGCTCCTACTCCTCCGCCTCCTGCTCCTCCTCCTCCTCCTCCTCCTCCTCCTCCTCCTCCTCCTCCTCCTCCTTCCCCCCCTCCCTCCCCTCCCTCCCACCCTCCCTCCGCCTCCTCATCCCTCACCCCCCTCGCCTCCCTCCCTTCCCTTCCCTCGCTCCCTCCCTCGCCTCACCTCGCCTCCCTCCCTCCCCTCGCATCCCTCTCTGCCTGTCCTCGCCTCGCCTCCCTCCCTCCCCTCCACTATTACACAATATGAATACTACTCCTCTCCTCTCTCCTCTGACTCCGTCAGGCGAGTCTCCCGTCCTCTCCGCGTATCGTGTATACACATGATTTCATGATCGGGTTGTTTTCGGATGTGTTTTTTCAATCCGGTCGTTTCTAGTTTTCCAAATGGTGTTCCCGCTGCAGCGCCGCCCTCATTTCCGCGCTTCGGTCACTCAAACGTGCTCCCATTGCAACGCTGACCTCGTTCCCGCGCCTCTGGACGGCACTTGGCGGTCGAAAACACCCACATCGGACAAGCACGGATGCGGAGGACATGGAGCCGGCATTCCGAACAGGCCATGTTCTCTCGTAGACGGGCCACTTGCCCTCCAGGTAATGCGGTGCCATGCCACGGCATGCAATGTGATGCTGTGTTGTGCACCGCTGTGCGATGCCATGCTCTGCGTTGCTATGCTTTGTGATGAAATGCTTCACTACGCAATGCCACGCCATGCTATGCTCTGCCGGGGTAGTCTACGCCATGCTTTTCCATCCATCGCGTACCCTCTTGGGATCATTGCCCAGCTCGACATCCGACTGCACGAATAGATTGGACATCTACGCCATTGTAAGGGATGGGAGGGAGAGGTAGGACGTCAGATGTGACGCTAGCGCACCTAGCTTGCCTGCCTCCCTCACCTCCCCTCCCTTCCGCCCCCCCTCTCCTCCCCTCCCGCCCTCCATCCCTCCTCCTTTTGCCCTTTGCGACGGGCCTATGCCGTCCTGTACCCTCTGCTCCTCCTCCTCCTCCTTCTCCTCCTCCTCCTCCTCCTCCTCCTCCTCCCTCTCTCTCCGCGTCCTGCTCCGCCCTGCTGCTCCTCCTCCTGACTCCTCCTCCCTGCTCCTCACTGTTCTTGCGCCAGCTCCTGCTCATACCAGGATCGGTGAACGTCGTCTCGGGACATCGGACCGAATCGGAGAGTGCGCCGGATCGGGCTGCACAAGCACGGAGTCAGTAGCGAATCGGATCGGCAGTGCCAAGATGCACAGCAACGCCATGCAAACATCGGGCCGTACAGTCGGGGCGTTGACCTAAGGAACCCTAAATAAGGAACGAGGCCCCTTTTTTTCCATAAGTTAACCTTCGATTTCCTGTCGAAAACATACGGGAAGCCTGAGGCAAGCTGTGAGACACTTAAGGAACGCGGAGCCCCTTCCCAACGAAAAGGGTTCCTTCTTCAAGGCCCCGACTGTATCACATCGTCGGCATATTGGAATCGACTCAGCTCGAGCTGGCCAGAATCGATGTCGAGTCGGAACCATCGGATCGAACTGGACCCCCGGAGTGGGGCCGGCCGGCAGAAGAAGAAGGAGGGAGCACAGCAGCCACACGAGCAGAGGGCTGCGGAGGTCCGCGCGGACCTCTGAGGCTCTGTGCCTGCACCACTCTCAGTGTCACGGTGAGTTGTGTAAGCCTTTCAACTTCCCCCCTCTCCTGACGCCCTGGCGCGGCCGCTCCCCCTTCTGGAGGCTTCTTGGCTTCTTGCGCGACCCCACGCCTCTCCGGGTCTCTCCACGGCACTCCGACGCGTCCAAGACGGCCCGAGAATGACAACAAGTGCGTCAAGATGGCTGCACCAGAAACCGAGCGCCCGACAACCGCCGAGAGAGCTCCACGAGGCGCCAGATAGAGTCTTGGAGGCTCACCGGACGCCAGAAAGCAGGCAAAAGGGGCCCTACTGGAGTGCCAGAGCCACTCCCAGACCCGAGGGACTCCTCTGGCTTGCCAACATCCTCGGTCTCCTGGGATGCTCGGCTCCGGGTGATCCCGAGAGCGCCCCACGGAGGAGCCTACAGAGGAGCGACGAGAGCCCCTGCGGGCCTCCAGAGGCTCTCCACAGGCGGCCCGGGACAGCCACCTGCCATCGCTCGGACGTCCATGCCCCGTGCACGTGTTGGTGTCGTGCGCGACTCTGCCCGGGTGATCCAGAGTGCTCCTCGCCGAGAAGGATGCGCACGCCCGCGCGATGCCAAGGCCACAGAGGCCCCAAGACGGTGAAGATGATCGAGAGGGCCCCAAGATGCCCCCCAACAGCAAACCCAAGGGGCTTCCCTAACGGCCGAGAGGGGTTACAGACACGCCCAGGACGGCATCAAGACAACCCAAAGCAGCACAAGACGGCCCCATGAGGGCCCCAGGACGGCCCGAGAGGGCCCAAATCAGGCCTCAAGACGGCTCCACCACGACACAACAAAGCTCCAAGACTGCCCAGGCGAGCCCCGAGAGCGAGAGCACCTCAAGAGGTACAAACGAGACGTGTCACATGCTACGGCGTTCAGAATGTTGCTCGAACCTCCGCCACATCATCACCATCATCGGCAACAACGGCGACAACAACAAAAAGGCAACAACAACAACATCATCATCATGACCAACAAACCATCAACTAAATCACCCTGACAAGCGTCATCGTGATCATCGACACCATGACTGTAAACATGGTCGTATTCCGTCACAAGGCGGCCTCCCATTCTCTGAAAGTCTCGGGAAACGAGTTGACGCACGCGACGTAAAACCTCGTTTTCCATATCCGCATCCCCCCACCTCCTCCTGTTTCTCCTCCTCCTCCTCAACAACACAATCATCACCATCATCATCACCATCTGCGTCACAATTACTATCATCGTCACAAGTGCCGTCATCACCACCTATCATCACCATCACGACGAAGAGCAAGTCTGTGAAATCCGATCATCATCATCATCATCGTCATCAGCATCACCATCAGCATCAGCATCAGCATCAGCATCAGCATCACCATCATCAGTATTGCCCTCGTTCTCCCAATCCGCTCCAACACGGCCTCACGGCAACCCAAAGACGACCGAGGTGTTACTTACATGGCCTTATGGGCGCTGTTCCAACTTTCGCAACACATAGGATGGCGCGTGAGAGAGCATGAGAAACGGCGAGGAGATGGAGCAGAAGGAACGTGGAGGGAAGAACACACTGGGGCGCCAAGGTCAAGAAACGACATCCCAACACGACGCGGAAGAACGCGTCACCTGTTGCAGCGCTGCAAATCCGGGAGGCACGAGGTGTCGCACGTTACAGCCTCCTATGCGCCCCTCAAATAGTCGCCACCAAAGTGTTCAGCTGGCACGGTGGCGAGACTCGTCGCAGGCACTGGGTAACAAAGGGCGCTGGATGGAGAGCCTTAAGAATCATCTCCATCGACTCGATGTCGACGCCATCTCCTGACCGGCGGGGGCGCACGCGAGGAAAGAACAACGATAAGCCAGACAACAAATATACGCATACCCCAGCCGCGCACTACTTCCTCCCCTGACGCTGATGTCGGGCTCGTCTAATTCAAGGACCTGGGCCAAGCCCCCCGACCAGTAGGTCGAGAGGGGTGACCAAGAACAGGCAGCTCTCAGGTATCACACTCAGGAAAAGAAACGACAGGGGTGTGTCAGTCAAAGATGAAGAGCTTATACCGATGTGCAGGTATACGCGTTTATATATGTATATACATATGTGTGAGTGCGCCCATACATATGAACCGATATATGCTTTATAACTAAAAGTGTGCATATACATATACTTATATGTGTATACCAGTAAAGCTGTATGGGTGCATACCTGAATGTATGTATAAACACCTCTGTATATATACGTACACATGTATATACATGTATGTGTATGGCCGCCCACACCCCAAATACCCCCCAAACCAGCAAACAAAGAAAACATACATTCATCGTGTCCACCTGCACCTCCTCCCTCCATAGTCCTCCTCCTCCTCCTCATCTTGTCCCCTCGCGCCAGAGGCGCGACAGGACGGTTGAAAACCAGTGTGTTTCCCACGCTTGTTTTCCACATACTGCAAATGAAAATCAATGTTGTCTCATATTGCATTATTTCAGATGACCCGGGACACTGAGAAGGCGGTGTTTCAATTTCTTCATTCTTTGATGTGTGCATATTTCCTGGAGACACTGCGCAGAATGAGCATTCTCTCCAAGACCTCCAGACTAAAAGAAACATACGAGAACATACAGTTTTCGTGATACGCTAAAACCATTGTCTTTGTTATATTACATATTTGTCAAACTCCTCGGACAAGTCCGCAGGATGGGTGGCCTCTGCAAGAGACCCGAAACGTCGGACAAAGACACAGCACCTATCACTTGCAAGATCTGGAGAAATAGAGAAAGAACACGGCGTTCAGAGGCTGCGCCTCGCTCTCTCTCTCTCCCTTCTTCTCCTCGTCATCGGTTCCAAAGCAGTCGGAGGACGAGAAGGATGAAGGGAAGCAAGCGGAAAAAAACAGAAGGGAGAGGAGAAGGCGCAAGAGGAAACCGCTGACGTGCAACGCCGGGGCCCTGATACATGATCGTGTGGGGCGGCCATGAATGCTCGCCCCCACCCTCAGGTGGTCATACGTGTTGCGCTATGCACAGAGACTCCTTCTGCTTCTCCCTTCCGTCACCACCCTCACTCTCTTCAGACCTTCTGCCTCCATCCGTGTGCTTTCTCCCTCCCGCCCGTTCCTCGTGTGCTTGGTGCTTGGTCTTTGTGTAGTGCCTGTTACGGACCGTACTATATATCATATCAAAACTTCCAGTACCACTCGCAATCCAGCTATTTCTGCAATCCGTTTACATCCAACGGTACATATTTCGCCAAGGTCAATCATACAGCTCCGACCCAAAGCTATCGATATAGATCCTGCTACTGCGTGCATTGCAGTTCTCCCACATCCCCAGCTGCATTTCCGACGAGAACCCCCACGACAACCCCTCACGCAGTTCTCACTAGAACTTCTACGGTACTTCCATCCTACAATTCAGTATAGTTTTCAAGAGAGCTCACAATGCAACTTCTGACTGAATCCCTCTCGCGACCAATAGTACGTCTTTCGCAACTTTGACAACACCTCCTGCCAAAACTAACCGTTCCTGTTACAACCTGTACATCAGCTCAACTACATCCCGACTGCAGCTCCTGCTGCAACCCTTGCTGCAGCCAAAACTACAACTGCCACTGCCACTCCTACGTCAAAATTGTGTTCTTCCTTTTACTACGATACCGGCATCATTCTCTATTACTGCTTACTGTACCGCTCCTACGGAAACCAATACGCACCCCCTTGGGTGCAGTTGTCAGTACAAGGGCCCCTTCCAGTTTTTCCTATACTTCCTGCTCAAGCTCCTTCCACACGTTCTATTGCAGGTTTTACGAAATCCAATTGCATGGACAAGTGCAACCCCAATTGCAATCAACACCTCAGCCCATACGACACACATCACAATACACCTCCGAGTGCTGCGCGGCGCGTGCTGCAACTACCTTTACATCAAAGGTGCAACCCACGACAACTCCAACTATCGAATTTACATCGCATGTTGCGACGCCGTTTACGACGGTGCCCGTACTCAACCAATCGCCCAGCTCCCGTTACAGCTCATACTAGAGTTAGAAGTACGGTTCTCATTGCAGCTAGTACTGAAGCATCCCTCATTCAGTTCCGAGAAAAGATCGACTTTGTTACTGATTACAACCAGTAGCGCAGCGCCCCCCCCCCGGCACAGCTCCCCAACAATCCTTGCGAAAAATAATGCTACGGATCGCAGTAACGTGTCAATGCATACCAAACTGGACCTCCTGCTGCAATTCATTTCCAACCCGTCTTACAGTTGCCGCTACCCTCGCTACAGCTCATACCAACGGCAATATTGCACCTCCTGGGGCCATTTCATATGCAACATTGGCAGAGATATCACGACAAGTGTTCGGGCAATCCCTCCCTGCTGCAGCCAGGCATACATATGCCCCTACAGCTCCTACAACAACTTTTGCAACATGCCCATCTTCAGCGTTCACTACGGCGCCTGCCACAACTCCGACTACAGCTTCTAGAAGACTCCCCTTTGCAACCATAGACACTATTCACCACAACCCCTGCTACAACCCCGACTACAACGCATGCTGCACATCCGACTGCGTATATCAACGCAGACATTGTTGCAAACCCCTCAACCCGTATTGATCCCGCGGCGGATGGCAACACAAACAAGCCGAAATCCCCGGCTAACCGTGAATCCGCCACCGAATATTGTTCCCAAGACAGGCATCACGGCATTTCCCACCACAGCTCCACATGCAGTTCGTAATGAAGGCAAGCGTGCGGCTCCGATTCGAGCTCCTACTATAACACATACGGGCTATACTACTACAGTTCATACTGCAGCTTCTCGACACAGCCACCAATTCAGCTCCTGATGCAGATTCTGATGCAGCAGCTACGAGCGTTCCCACGACACCTCTTACCATTAACTCCCACTGCACCTCTTACAAAAGCCACGACAGCTCCTACTACACCCGCCACTCCAAAGCCATCACCAGTGCTCCTACCACAATACCCACAGCACCTCCTTTTGCACAGCCCTTATTACAGCTCAAACTTCAGCGTCTACACGCAGCCGCCAGCCAAGCTATCACTACAACTCGTGCTGCACCCTCTACAACAGCACATGGCACAGATCCTGTTGCAAATCCTAGTTCGGCCCTCGCTGCATTCCACGCTCTACGACGGCGACACTAAATGTCAAATTGCAAATGTTACGAAGACCACCATGCAGCTGCCAATGCGCCCCCTGTAGTTCCTAATGCTTCCAATTTTGCAGCCACTAGTACACGGGTCACTGCAAGTCCTGCGGTGTGCCTGTTGCGTATATGTCGAATTACAGTTCTTACAACAGCTCAGATTGCAGACTCTTCGCGCAGCCAGCAGCACAGCTCCAATTACAACTCCTGCTGCAGCGCCTCACAGCTTATTGCAAAGCCCGACTGCAAGTCCAAATTCAGCTCTCTTTGCAGCCTACACGACTCAAAAATGTAAATGTTGAAATAGTCGTTCGACGACGGCACACATTCAGCTCCCGATTGCAACTCTTGGAAAAAATCACCCATGCGATTGCCAACGCGTCTCCCACTGCAACTCCTAGTCTTATGATACGCTAGTGCAATGTTCATTGCGATCCTCACTACAAGTATACTGCATATCATGAGACTGCTCCTCCTGGGGTTCCCTCATATAAATAGGTAGCACAGCTTTCATGTCAAGTTTTGCTACTTGTTCCCACGACAGTTCCTGTACCAGGTCGTTCAGAAATTCTTACTGCAGGCCGCACTATAGCCCCCATCAAGGCTCTTACTGCGGGTCTAAGCGCTGCGCGTGCGACAGCGATTACGACATCTCTGACTTCGAATTTGCAACAAACAGTAGTACAGCTCCCTCTTCATCTGATCCTACAACTTCTATTGCAACTCCTACTACATGTCCTCGGGCACGTAAGATGACGCCGAGGATCGCCAGGAGGATTGGAGTGGGCGGAACGACGGGCGGGAATCGGGTGGGAGGGTGCTCGGTAGCGGTGAAGCACACTTATATACATATACATATATATAGACATATATATATATATACATCTATAAAATAGGCGTTGGCTTATACATTTATATACACAGGTAGATATACACATATTGAACGGTGGGGTTGCCAGCGTGGGCCCAGATGTATTGGATCTTGCTCTATCGGTGTGCACGCCATGTGGCACAATAGACGTAAAGCTGGTTCGCGTCGTGACAAACCCGGCGTTGGTTCCTGACACCGCGTGGATCGTTCGTTCAACACTGAACAATCGGCAACTCTTCGATCGCTAGATCGTTCCGCATTGGCCGAATACGGGCCAACGGCGGCGTTCAACCTGAAACATCCGCGCAGGGATCGCCGATGGGTCGACGAGACACGAACCAACAGTATAAGATACAATCCACCTTGCTGGCATCCGCGAACGACCACCTACAATGCTCATGCACACGCTCCACCCACCCGCCCGCGGGTGAGCCACGGTCGCCGATGCGCGAGTACCTCAGGCACCATCCGAGAATAATCACATGCGGGTTGTTCGGTGGCAACTCATGGGAGCCTCCCATACAATCTTGGAATTGACGCTGGTCGACCCTAGATCGACGCTATTTGACGCTACATCGACGCTGATCGACGCTAAATCGGCGCCATCTCATCGACTCCCAGGTGCTAGTTTACGCTAACCGACGCCAAAGACTGAATTAGGCGGGTATCTAAGGCTCCCATGTGCTACCGAACAGTCGTGCCGCAGGCGTTTCGCGCGGGGCGTCACGATTGG